AGGGATATTTTGACAACAGGGTATACAGAGAAAACAAGTAACAATGAACATAAATGCAGCTCAAGAGAAAAGCAGGGGCCTGAAGGAACACTGGTGAATTTGAGGACTTTGGAAGATTTCAGGACATTGAAGGTGTGCCTCTGCACGTCATGACCTCCCTGCACCCCAGATGCCCCTCTTCTGAGCCACAGCCAACTCAGGCAGAGTCACTGACATTTAACACTGGGCTTTACAATCACAACAAGGAGGCCAAAGGCCTCAGGCCCAGCATGCCCGGATCCTTAGGAATGAGCCCAGGGAGAAGTGAGTGGCACTCCCAATGGACACAGTTCCTGGGACAACTGAGGAAGGATACAAAAGAGCTGGTGATGTCCCTGATCAACGGTTCCCAAATCCAGGTGGGCAGAAGAAACTACTGGGCAGCATTTTTTTTAGAAATACAAATTCTCACCACTCAGAACTACTAACTAATGCACATGACAAGTGGATGAGTCTCAAAATGATTATGCTGAGAGAAGCCAAACAGAAACAAGTATATTCGTATGGGACTAGACTTTTATCACACTCTAGAAAATGTAGACTGACCTTTAATGATGCAAAGCAAATGGTGGCTGCCTGGTAATGGGGGCAGGGAAGGTGGTGAGAGGAAGGGGTTGAAAGGGGGCATGAGGAAACTTTTAGGGTGTAGGTATGTTCCCTGTCTTGACGGTGGCGATGGTTTGCAGGTATATACCTATGTCAAAACACACTAAATCATGTACTTTACCTAGCATAGGTCCCCGATACCCTGGCAAAGCTCTTTAACATAGTCGAAAGTACAGATTCTCCAGTCCAAATGAATTCTAATCTCCATGAACAGGACACAGTAATCTGTTTTTAAAAGCCTGGATGGTAGCCAATCCACCAGTTCTACCACAAACCAACTCCCCTTACATTTCTTAAACAATATTTTATTAAAAGGTATACTTTTAAATGCAACTCACATGATTCTGTTGTAGGCAGTGACTGCCCAGTGTCTGGAAACTGTATCCAAGACACTCAGAGCAGCTTCTTTGGAGCTTAAATGGTGAGTTATTTCATATTTAAAAGAAGTTAGGGGAGAGAAATTGTAAAAGAAATATATCGTGATGTAGAATAAGTTCCTAACATATTGTTAGGTGAAAAAAAAGTAAAAGAAGAGTAAGTAGAAGAAAATAAATTAATCTATTTCTAAAACTATTATTTCTATTTGTGACTTTAACCACTTCTTTCTGAAACTGGTATGCAGCAAGAGGTATAGAGTAGAACACAGAGAGACATTTCAGGTCTTTGAGTATACATTTTCTATCTCATGTAGAATTACAGAATGCTTTAATTTTTTATCTTAAGAGAATTTTTTTTTGCCTGTATTCTCTAAACCTTCTAGACTGAATGTGCATTACTTTGGTGATGTGTGGTAAAACAATAAATACGATTTGAAAAGCTAGTGGCTCCCATTTACATCTATGACTGGCTTAGCTCCAGTTTATTCAATGATGTTTCAGGCATACTGTGCTCATGGGTTAATGCTGAAATGGCAGCTTCTATCTCTGAAGTTGCTATAAAATCTTGCTCTATGAAGCAAAACAGAACTATAATAAACCTGGAACTCAATGAAAAACTGGTGGGGAGGGGAAAGAAAAGAAAAAAAAATCAATCCCCAGAGCTGTTTGGTGAACTCATGCACACAGTACAGCATGTCCCTGGGAGGATAACAAAAGTGACACAAACACAGGACAGGAACTCGGGACGTGGAGGAAGGAAACAAGCTCAGCTTTGTAAGTAAACCGTCTTTGTATTTGGGATGAGCTGGCAGACAGGTGCTCGGGGGAATGGATGCCTGCATATTGAGATCTTTGCGTGATTTTTCTAATGCTGATTTTACACAAACCCCAGATGCCCTCCTGGAATGCCTACCTGGCTCCAGTGTAATATGTTTTGCACAGAAGTTCCAGCAGGAGAGTGTGCTACATATACAGACACTCTAGACTGCAAAATAAATACATGGAAACAAAGAATGAATACAGCATTAAGGAGGCATTGATAATACACATATGCTGCACTTCATAGTTAAAAACTACAGAGGCATAGCCTCAAATACATGAGATTAAGGGGGGGGATTCTTTGACTACAGATATGACGACTAAAAATATGTATAAGAATGTACACACAGAATATATATGAAGGAAATATAGCAACATGGTAACGATGGGGTTGCACGGGCTGAGATTACTGGTCATTGTAGTTTTAAAGGCATAGCCTCAAATACATGAGATTAAGGGGGGGATTCTTTGACTACAGATATGACGACTAAAAATATGTATAAGAATGTACACACAGAATATATATGAAGGAAATATAGCAACATGGTAACGATGGGGTTGCACGGGCTGAGATTACTGGTCATTGTAGTTTTATTCTTCATAGTTTTTTCAATTTCCAAATTTTTATATAATAATCACACCTTGCTTTCATCATCAGAAACAAGAAATTAGTATCAGTTTTTAAAAATTCCCTAGAGTTTTCATTCCAGAACTTTAAAATATTTTCTCAAAATGCAACATTTCAAACTACAAATATATTTAGAAACACCAGCATATTACTGGCCAAGGATTTACACTGTATGAAATAAATGAATTTACACACACACAGGTGTGCGTAAATGGCCATTCCAAAGTTAAACACATTTATGGTAATTTTTTAAAAGAAAGAAATCTCTAGAATAAATACAAATATTGGGACTTAAATTATGACAGATCCCCTCATTTGACAGTTTCCATATAGGTACATGTAGGAAGCTGACAACGGCCGGCCTGAGGACAGCAGCAGATGGCACTGCAGGCACTTGACAGAGTTGGTTCCTTGGCCTCCTAAAACTAAAGATCTTTTAGAGTTCTAAGGAGGTCATTCCTGCCTATCCCACTTCCCCCACAAAAATAAGCACATTTACAGATAAAATAAAGTTACTGAAAGTTTAAACAAGTCTTACTATAAACTTACATACCATATTTAAATTTCTCTCATTAAATCCACACAGAAGAAAAAAGATATTGCCACAAAGCTCCTTCAGAACGACATGTGTACAAACATGTGTACTCAGCCACTTCAAAAATGCACTCTGAGGAAGAAATTCTTTGACCCCAAGTAAGTCCTGCAAAATAAAAAGAAGTCCAAGAATGTCTCAGCACTTCATTCTGGTACACCGGCCTCCATGACCTACCTCGGAAGCAGAGATACATGCCAAGTGTCTCCACAGATGGTCTCAGGAGAGAAATGGCAACAAGGGACCTTCACACTAGGAACATATGTTATGTTTATGCAGTATGCTTACTAAGGTAAAAACAGACATTATAAATATGTACTTCAGGACTCAAGTGAAGAAACGGAGGCAGAAAATCAAGTGAGTTCATAGCAGACTATCGTAGAGGGAAAGGGCCTTAATGATGACTCATCCCAGTGCCGTCCCAGAGATCCATCTGATGCTGATGGATGGAACTGAACTGTGATTGGCCAGCAGTGTGTCCGCCCAGGATGCAGACAGACGTGATCCAATTCTACTGGCAAATGGGCCAATCCTGCCTTCTTCCTATTGTTTGTTAGTACTTTTTTTAAACCAAGTTATTGTTTATACTTTGTGTTTTATTGAAGACACATTAATTTACCATTATTTTTAAATGCTCAGTTCAGTGGCATTAAGTCCACTCACATCATTGTTTAACCATCACCACTCTCCATCTCCAAAACTCTTTCCACATCTCAACTGAAACTTTGTACCCACTAAATAGTAACTCCCCATTCAGCTCCACCAGCACTGTCTACATATAAGTGAAGTATTATTGGAACACAGCCACTCTCACTTATTTACACATTTTCTTTGGCTGTTTGGTGCTATATTGGCAGAGTTCAGCAGTTGCAAGAGATCACATGGTGCACAGAACACGATTATTTACTATCTGAACCTTTACAGAAAAAGTTTGCCCACTCCAGGTCTATATCTGCCTTGACCAATGGCCATGGAACCTGTGTCAAGTATTTCTGGGGTAACCACTATGTCCTCAGGGCAGTCATTCACATACTTGTGCAATAGGAAATAGGAAAAAGATCTTCCTTATGTTGAACCCAAATGTGTCCCCTTATAATTTACACTTTTGCTGATGCCTACCCTCTGGAGAGACAAGAGTGAAAGTCCAAGCCTGCAAAGGCAGTTTCATGGGTTGGACCGTGTCTCCCTTATAAAGGTATGTGGAAGTCCTAATCCCCAGTATCTCAGCATGTGACCTTACTTGGAGATAGAGTCTTTATAAAATTAATCGAGTTTAGATGAGGTCATTAGGGTGGGCCCTGATGCAATATGACTAGTGCCCTTATAGAAAGGGGAAATTTGGGCCCAGAGACAGACACTTCCATGGGAAGATGAAGGCAGAAATTGGAGTGATGCTCTCACAAGCCAAGGAGCACCAAGCAGACCACCAGCAACTAGGGGAGACACATGGAACAGATTCTTCCTTGCAGTCCCAACAAACACAGGTGAGCATGAAAATGCAAATGAGTAAAAGAGCAGAGCAAGAGGAAAATTCCACCCTGCCCCGAGCGATGGTTGAGCTCTGAGACCTGGGGCAAACTGGAAAGCTTATGCTCAGCCTGGTGTGTGCCATTACTTTGTGCTACACAGCTTCCTTTTTTCCTAAAAAAAAACAAAAACCAATACCAAAATTTAGATGTTAAATAATCTGCCTTTTAAAAGGTGCAACTAATTTAAAATTATAATATTGCATGATGCAATTCTATACTTCTGGCAAATTTCATCCACATGCACTCAGCCTGTGATCTGCCAAATACCAATATCTAAAGGCAGATACTAGGTCTCCTTGAATGTTCCTCTTCTCCAGACTAGTCACACTAAGATGAGGTGGGGAGAACAAAGAAGTAAATATCACATGCAGAGAAGCTCATGTGACAGGCATCAGCATTTAAAACTAGCTTTGAGTCTATGTAATGGTCACATGTGATAAATACATATATTTTTGAGGTTCTCTACTAAAAATAGGAGAATGCATCACTGACTTAGTGACAATAAGCCAAATTTTCCTTTTGACCGACAAAGAATGGGAAGTTGACCTTGTACCTTGTAACTGTTAGCTGAAAATGACTGTGGCAAACTCCACTGAAAATTATGACAAAGCAGCATAGTATACACAGAAAAAGAAAAATTCACATGGGTACAGTCTTGCTTATGTCAATGTTATCTTTATAATGTATGCCTTTGTATTCTGAGAAAGAGTTAGGATACTTGGCTTCCATGGAAGCAACATATACTTTCCAGAGCAGCTAATTCAAAGGTTTTAGGAATATACATTCACTGTATCACTTTCCCAGGATAATAAAAAACACGGTTATCTATGATTCCCAAATACCCATCTGTTTAGCCCACTTTAGGCGATGTAGGTGCTTTATAGAAGCACAGATCCTGGGTCCCACTCCAGGTTTAACAAAACACCAGCTTCAAGGAGGGGAGCAAGAGTTTGAATCTTTACAAAGCTACTAAATCACAATCTCCAATGATTAAATTAAATTTGCATCATTCCTACAATGCAGCAATTTCAGCTCTCCATAGAAAAGGGCACAAGGATGCAGCAACAGTCAATCAGCAACAACCTAAGGGTCTACGTAGGGGGCAGGTTAGGTAAGTGGTAGTTCCTCAGAATGGAAAACTTACTATGTAGCAGTTAGAAAGCACACAACAGTTTTATTTTTTTGATATGGTGGCTCTCAAATGAGGAGAAAATGCTATCAATATGCATAGTGGATACGATCTATATTAAAGCAAAACATTTCTCTCCAAACCTAGATATGTAGGTAAATTCATTCACAAGCTCTACAGGAAAAGACCCCAAACAGTACTATGCTAAATCCTGAAAAAAGCACCAAAAGAAGCCTTGGAAGTTGAAAGGTGTTTTATTTGTAATTTCTGAATGTTTTAAAATGAAAACTGATGATTCAATACCCAAGGTGTTAAAAATAAATTTGGTTAGAGGGTCCACATCTTATCTACATGTCTGCCCACAGGTGCAGAAAATCCCATTTTATGTGAGAAACTGATTCTGAGATTAGAGTATTATCTGTATTTCCTGTGAAAATTTTGTAAATGGCCAATAGATATGTTATAACTGATTTTAAGTATATATTCCTGTATGGGATTTCATGTGTGTGTGTATATAAACGTATCATACATAAAACATAATAGTGTAGGCATAACGGACCATCTGGCTTCAGCTGGCTCTCAACTCCTCATAAAAACTGATTCATTCTTGAACAGAACAAAGCTCCACGGCTGAGCCCTAATGAAGTTATCAGCTTGTGTTTAGGGGCCTGATTATAAAACATAATAGTAACAATGTCCTTAGATCACCTGAGTGAGGCCAGGGTTGGGCATGTGGGAGCAGCACATTTCCTGCACGTGGGCTCATAGCACGGAATGAAGTACAACTCTAAGAAAGTTTAAGCTACCTTCTCCGAGACTTTCCGGATCTCTCTTTGTGTGGTGGGTGGAGAGTTGCTCTGATAGGCTAACCATGAAAATACAGGGCTGTGGTGTAGATCTAGGGATAAAACTTCCCTGACTCTCCAGGATCTGAAAGTAGGAGTGAAGAGAGGCAGAAAAACCATGGAGAGAAGAAACCCCACTCTTCCATTAGTAGCAGAACACAGAGAAGGCAGGCATAGAGGGAGGAACATGCTCCCCCTAATGGCCAGTTCTTCAGATCTGAAAAGGAAATTTGGGGGCAAGAGTGGGTGGGTGGGTGATCCAAGTACCTTAATGAGAAAATCTGGTAATTGTCCTAATTTAGTTAGAGGACTGGTAGAGAACACAACTGAAGTCACAGGAGCAAGGGCAAAGAACATCTTAATCTTCTTGGCCAGCTCAGGGATCCGTGAAAATGCTATAAAACCTGTGGGAACAAAAGGAAAATAACGGGAAAGCTCATCTTCAAGGACTTTCTCTGACTCGTTAAGAACAATCATGTGTTGCGCCCTCTAGTGGCAATCTGAGAACCATGCGAGCACTGTCACCGCCAGGAGTCAAACATTTGAAACAGCAGCCCTCAGCTTCTTTGTGCACAAACACCGAGTCTGATTAAACCAGCAAATCAAATACTTATTAAGTACTTATTTCAGTTTTCAACCTAGATATGCACTGGAATAAATCCAGTTGCTAGAGCCAGAAGGTGTTCCCTGTTCCTTTAATAATGTAAGCCAAGCAAAAGAAAGACTACTCCTAATAGCTCCACCTACCATCCCATCCTCTCCCTTCCCTAAGAATTTACACAAGCATTCAAATCAGTCACCAAAGACAAAAAAGAAATTTACACATTTAGAATGGCCTGGCTTTAAAATATCTGTTAGCCTCTCCTTTTTGCCTTAAACTCAGCCCCTGAATGTCTCTTCAGAAAGCAGTGAAGCCAAGGACACAAGTAGACAAGTTATGGGAGATGGAATATAAATGAAGAAAAAGGCTTAACCTCATTAGTAAGAAAGGCCAAGGGATCCGTGTTACTTTCTTTTGGTCGCCTCTCAAGTTGGCAGAGTGTTGAGTGGTGAGGCCGTTTAACCATATACATCAAGACACTTTAAAGCATTCACACCTTTCACATAGTAATTCTCCTTCTAGGAATGTATTCTAAGGAGATCACATGATATGAACACAAAGATACTAGTCATAGTAAACACTAAAAGGGGAATTAATAAATTATGGGGCAGATACCTAATCTGTAATCAGAGGAACTCTTTTTTTTGCTAGAATTATGGGCAATTGTTATTTTCTTTAGTTTACTAAATGTATTTTGTGTTTATAGCAAATACACATTACTTTTATAATCAGTATAAATAAAAAAAGCATGACTTAAAAACTATTTATAAATAAAGTGAAACATGGCATCTGTGTACTCCATCTTACCCCCACTGAAAACAGGAGGAAAACAACTCACTCTCATGAACCTCACATTACACTGACCATGAGTTTTAGAGTCAGACAAACCTGGGTTCAAATCTGTCTTCTCTAAAATAACTTAGTCATAGAGATGAAAGTATAGCATAGAGAATATAGCTCATAATACTTTCGTACCATTGTATGGTGACGAATGGTAACTACACACATCCTGGTGTGCATTTAATAAAGTACATAATTGAAAAATCACTAAGTTGCTCATCTGAAACCAACATAATATTGTATATAAACTGTATAAAACTCTATTTTAATTAAAAAATTATTATAAAAAAACAAAGTACAAGTCAGAGTATTTTTTAGGGTAATCCAAGATGGTGGCATAGAAAGAACCTGCACCCACCTCTTCCCATGCACACACTGAATCTACACCACACACACAGAGCAATTCCTCCTGAGAAGGAACTGAGGCCTGAACACCTTATGCACAGCCACAGAGAGAAAGACCACATAAAAGTCATTCTATTTTCTTGTTTTCTTTGCAAAAGTCTCTGCATTTATAAAACAAATTATTTTCTACGCTCTCCCATCTCCATATTGCTTAACTAGGAAAATACATATGAGGCTATGGTTTACTTCACTTCTTCGAATTCAAAAGACTCACACACATTGTTGATCTGTTTATATTAAAGTCTGAATTTCCAGAGAAGATGAAATATTACCCAAATCCCTTGCCCTTGCCCTGTTCATTAATTCTGCTTGTCATTAAAATCCTCTATTTGGATTAACATATTTTTTTACTTCACCTTTAAGAACAAATGCAAACTGAAATAAGACATTATATCAACTTCTAATCTTTATTACATACATACCCACTGTAGTGCCTTGAGAATGACCCACATAATATACTTGTTCTTGGCCAGTTTTATTCAGAATGAACTTTATTGAAGCTGGTAGGTCATAATTTGCCATTTCATCAAAACTGCAATCCAAACAAAAAGAACCCTTTCATTGAGACATTGCATACAACAGTACACAACTCATAAGTGTACAGTTTGAGGAGTTATCACAAACTGAACACAGCTGGGTAAATGGGCACCGAGAGGAGGAAACAGAATATTAACAGGACAGCAGAGGCCCCACTGGGTTCCCTTCTAATCTCGCCTCCCACAGGTAACCACTGTCAACCTTTTTTACACCATAAATTAGTTTCACCCATTGTTTAACTTTTCTGTAAAAGGGAACAAACAGTATGTATTCTGTATCCGGCTATATCCATGCTGATGCACATAGTTGTAGGCTGTTCACTGTGTATATATACCACACTTAACTTGCTCATTCACTGCTGATGGGCATTTGGTAGTTCCCCATTTTTCACCATTACAAATAGTGTGACAATAAATATATTTTTACATGTGCCTTTGGTAAAAACCCTCAGTCTTGTACTTCATGTCTTTAGGTAGGCTCTGGTTTTACAGATGGGAAGCAAGCCTGAAGGAATTTGTAGCGCTGACCTTCTCTAACACCTGGTACCAAGACAGAGCCCTGAGCCAAGGGCGTGTGTGAATGCTTGACATCAGGCGATGGATGAGCCAGCTGTTAACTACCACCTTTGATGGTAACCACCACCAAGCTCTTTCCCTATATCTTCTCCTTTAATACCCCAATGACCTTTTGAGATAGGTATTTATTATCCCCAATTTACAAAGGAGAAGTGAGACACAGAAAGCCTATGCAACATGCCCAATGCCATACAGTGATTAATAGGAAGAGACAGAAGTGAGAAGAGGAGAATTTCTGGACATAGGAAATTTGGAGTGCATATTTATGGAGGAAAGAAGGTTATGAGACACAAGTTACCCAGAAATATCAACAAACCTAAAAACCCATCATCGAATCTAATTCTTAAATGGAATTGCTTATTATAACTTAATGTGAGTTATCAAATTCCTAACAAGTTTTAAAACATAAGCATCAGTTTCCCTCTCATATAATCTTAAATTACTCATCTATCTGCTTCCCCATATGTCTATGTTGAGGGTACTAAGGAAACAGAACCCTGTCATCATCAATTCAAATCTACCTGAAGGCCCAGAATTTATCTTCAGAAACAGGAAGAGTTCTGTGGTTCCGAGACCAGGTGTTTCCTCTGCTGTTCCCCAGCCACACATCAAACCCGGCATCTGCTAGGATGAAGCCCAGGCTGCTATTGGGCAGGTTTGTGACCCAGTTACTGGAATCTGCCAGCAAGCCATGCTGCAGGAACACCACGGGCCTGGGACCTGAAAAAAACACCCACATGTAGGAGTTAGTTGCACCTAGCTTGAAAACAAACATGGTATCTTGCTAAACAGATAATTCATGACAGATTCCAAGCAAATAATAAAATAGAAACAATTTAAAATACTGAGGTAGAATGCACCCCTATATAACATTAGCAAAGAATTTTTTAAAACCAGTGCTGGCAAGGTAGTGGCAAAACTGGTCTCCTTTTGCTTATCTAATAAGACACACTGCCTTCACCATCAAACAGATTATAACCTACTCCTGAAAACCTAAGAAATGTTTCTATAGTTTGCTCCGGTAATTACATTTCTTACAATGTACCCTAAAATAAATCAAAAGAAAGGAAAAGATCACACACAAATTCACTATATAGACACAAACAGGTATTCTTATATGTCTACTCACACACATGCATGCACACACACACACACACACACACACACACATTTACTTCCTACTCACCTACACCTGAGACACAGATGCAATAGCCAAAGACTCAGAAGGGAAAGAAACCTGACCTCTGGCTGCTTATATAGTGTTAAGACCATTCAGTCACTCATTAAACAAGCATTCATTGAGCCCCAACCACATGTCAGGCATTCTTCTCAGTACTGGGCACACAGCAGAGAATAAAAACAGGAGGAAAACAACTCACTCTCATGAAGCTCACATTACATTGACCATGAGTTTTAGAGTCAGACAAACCTGGGTTCAAATCTGTCTTCTCAAAGCTCTGATGTGGCACCTTGGACGAGGTATTTTAACATGCCCTGAAACTTGTAGCATGCCCCGCAGCATGGAAATAGAGTTTGCACTTTATAGGAAGTAATGAGATATATTATATGAAAGTTCTTAGCCAAGAGCCTGACACACAGTGATAGTTCAATAAACATTAGCTCACATTATTAAGTTGCTTAACCAGTCTAAGTCTCAGCTCCATAAATAATTAAGAGGAATAAATGAGATAATTAAATGTTTTACATAGGGACTGACACATAGGTCCAAATGAAAACTATGAGCTCCCTTTGACTTCTGTCCATCCTTACAATAGTGAAACACTTACTAATACATTAATTGTCAAGTGGTCAAATAATTAACTGCAATCCACCTGGTGTAATACTTAAGCCATCAACAATGACAAGGACTGACAAGGCAGTCTAGAAAAGCTTATAACCAAGCATTGAAGGGGAAAAAGAGGCAAAGTACAAAATAACAGAATATTCTAGACTACAGCTCTGTACCAATGATGTACACAAATGAGGAGTGTAAACTAGGAAGGAAAAATGGGAAGAAAGATTTGTCAGGACAGTCAGATGGGAAGTGAATTGACAATATTTTTTCTGTTTCTTTACTGACATGAATTTGGTAACAAATAAACTGCTTTTTAAGTGACTCTAATGGCCTCTATAGACAACTCTAGGAGGCACACACACACCTGACAACATGAATGGCACCCCCTGGAGATATGCAGTGTGGGCCTTTGATCCACTCCTTTGTAAGAACAGTGGGAACCCACCCCCCACCCTTACCAAGAAAAGGTCCAAAGTGACTCCTGTGATTCTCTGATCACAAACAGCAGCCCTCTGCACTTCCAAAGCCTCACAAATGGCCTTCTACCAGTGGGGAGAGAACAGAAGGCAAACAGGCCAACACTGAGGCCACTTCACATGCACCTCTTTACCTTCAAGTGTTCATTTTAGTGCTACATTAACAAGACTAAATTTACTGGGAAAGTTCTATGTACAAGGCACTGTGGTATATACAGTATCTTATCAACAGGCTTCCTGCCTGCAGTGAAGGTGATCATGATCCAGCTGCGGAAGAATAATCACAAAAAGTTCACAATTACAAACGTCAGTTTACCAGTAATTGCTGAAATTAACTCAAGGTTGAACTGTAATGGATGGAATGTGTTTTAAGTGACTGTCCCTCCAAAGCAGGACTGCCTCATAAGGACAGTGACAAGAAGCATCACCAATCAGTGGTAACCGTGCAATACCGTGGGAAGGGCACCAGGAGTGGTATGACGGTGCTACCATGTTCCGTCAGCACATTAAGGCACTTCTCTCCCATCCAAGGTGCTTTGGGGCTGGGCCTTAAAACACCAGAAAGTCAGGATGACCAAGGAAAGACTTTGACAACATATAGGGACCACAGGGACAGGACAGCTTTGTGCCAAGAAGCGCTCCTACTGGTCACCAGCAGCACTGAGTCCATGTGTCTGCCCTGCAGTGGTCTCCCTGGGGGAAGAGGTCAGGGCGAGGCAGAAGGGAGGCGCGGCAGGTGGTCGGATACCGGGTTGCTAGTTCCAGCCAGTGCCTCTTCAAACACTCAGTGGAAAACCCGGGGCCACTCAGCCGAGTTCTCAGGGCAGAGCCCTGAGAAAGGCAGGAGTGGCTGACACAGGGTTGGGAGCTGAGGGGGGCAGAGGGTGGGAACCAGCACCAGGCCAGGGCTGAGACTGGCTGGGGAGGCAGGTGCCATTTCTGGGGACCATGTGTCAGCCCCCTACCTTCTCCTGATGGGGAAAATTTACAGCTCCCCTGCAATCGTTCTGTACTTCCCTCCCTAAGCCCCTAGAGTTCAAAGGGGAAATGTGGGAGTTGGCAAGTTGAAGACATACAAGAAACTCTTCAAACTCCTGGACTCCGATGGGCAACAAGGAGCCACTGACCCTTTCCCAGGATGTGCGCGTGTAGCCGTGGAAATCCAGACGCCCAGCGCCGGCATGTGTTCCCTGTGCATGTGTGCTGCTCAGAGCAGCTCAGGGGCCTTTGACAACACATGCAAACACCCTAGAGCAGCCTGGACCTACACCCACTCCTACACAAGGCTTAGCTCAGGAGTGACTCTGTCCTGCATAGAGACTTCTTAAAACATTCCCAGACTCCTCTCTGCACTCCATGGAAGGTTACCCAAAGCTCTGTATTTGCCCCATAAATTTGTTAAATTTCCAAGTGCTTGGAAGAAAGTAACCTCTAGCAGATGGAGGAGACACAGAATGGGAGGGAGGGACATATCTCAAACTTGCCTGCTCGGGCAATGCATCCAAACACCAGCCCAGTCCATGCACTCCCACACCCGTGGCCTGGTTCAGCTTAGCAACAAACCAGTAGGACGAGACCAGGGCTGCCGCCCCCAGCTGTACCCTACAGTTGGCTCCTTGGTCCCAAGTGGCTCCAGGAGGGCTGGGGGCTGAGGGGAAAGCCTAAGGGCAGGTTGGCCCAGAGACAGGCAAAGTTCAACTAACAGTTAGCAAAGAGCTGGCAAAGAGCAGCAGCCAGTGAGGGCCTGCTACAGAGCTACCTGCTTAGGCCCAAACAGGAGCAGAGCCAGCAGCGGATTCCAGGCTCCGAAAATGAACCTCCTGAGCCCACACTCTCACAAAAGGATGACTGGGTGGATGGGGAAGTTGCCCCTGCCTCCCAAGGTACCGGCCTTCTCTATGAGGGCAGTCCCCTGTGCTCTGAGATGGTGTGAGAGATGAGCTGAGGTCCCACAAAGAACCAAAAGGACAAGGACAAGAGCTTGGAGGTCAGGGTGTCGGCACGAAGCAGTTCTCGGTTCTTACTAGATGTGAAACCTTGTAGGATGTACTAAGTCTCTCCAAAGTCTAAGTGTCCTTTTCTAAAGTGATATACAGTAAAGCTCAATAAATAATCGTCCCTCATAATAATAATAGTAAATATGTATATGTAATGAAGTATCATTAGAACACAGGCACTGGAAGAAAGAATGAGCGGCACCATTTAGCCAGTATAATCAGAGCTGCGCTAAGTGCACACTACGGGCTGAATGCTACAGGTTCTGTGCTGAGCACTTCCCGGGTGTCACCTCGGACACATCACCCCACAGCTCTCTGAGCTGGCATGATAGGCTGAATGAGGACCTGTGTCCTAATTCCCAGAACCTGTGACTATGTTACCTTACATGGCAAAGGGGGCTTGGCAGATATGGTTAAGGACCTCAAGATGGGGATATCCTCGTGGATTATCTGGTGGGCCCAATGTGATCACAGGGGTCTTTCTAGGAGAGAGGCAGGAGGGTTGAATGAGAAAGAGGCTAGAAGATGTTATACTGCTGGCTCTGAAGACGGAGGGTAGACTCCAAAGCCAAGGAACATGAGCAGCTCCTAGATGCTGGAAAAGGCAAGAAAACTGATTCTCCCCTAGAGACTCGAGGGGGAATTCAGTGCAGCCAACACATTGACCTTAGGACTACATCTAGAGCTGTAAGACAGTAAATTTGTATTGTTTTAAGCTATAGACTTATGTGGTAACTTGTTACGGCAGCAACACAATACTAATACACTTAGAGATTAGTTTCATTCCCATTTTTCATAGGACTCTGAGACACTGTGGCTAAGTAATCTGTGCATAGTTGCATTGCCAACAATCCCAAACCAGGGCTCAGAGTCAGGCAGTCTGTGTCCCAGGTATGAAGAAGAGAGAGGTTTGGCTCCTTGCTAGTTTGGGAGGAGGCTGCATAACCTAAAACCTTCCAGAATAGCTTAGAAGATAGGCTATAAGTTGCATAAGGGCTCCCTCTACATCTGTAAAGGCAGGTTCCAGACAAAACAGCACCAAGGACTTAGCTTATGTGTACACACAATCCCACCACTTTGTACTGAGTAATGTAAAGTTAAAGCCACCCTCTCACTTTGGACCTGCCTGCAACCATCCATGTGACAAGACAATTCAAGGAATCTTGAGACCCAGCAAAGTAGGCCTTTGGTTCTGCACAGACCCAAAGTCCAAGGGCTTGTTCAAACCATCCTTAAGACAGGCTTTAGATCACCAAAAGCTCTGGGGCTGGGGAGCTTCCTGAACCTGCCCCAACTACTTAAGATAAACCCTAGCATGCATTCCAGCATCTGGTCAGTCTGTAGTTATGACTAGTATTTGTCCTTATAGCTACCACCTGTGTTTTACATGGATCATAGTGTTACAAGAGTGATGTTGAGATCTACCCCCATGTCAAAGATGAGGAACTAATG